GCACGCCCTGGCTCTGGGGCTTCCTGGCGGAGGCACTGGCTGGACGTCCGGCCCAGCTCTAGCAGGGCAGGCACCTGCGGCCACAGTAGCGGCCACCAAGGCCAGAGAGCCCCGAGAGCCCTGAGAGCCCAAAGCCCCCCGAGTTGATGGGGACCCCGGACTCGCTCAGGATGTTGCCCACGGCGGCGGAGGTGGAGGATCCCACGGCAGTGTTCTGGGGGAAGGAGCTGAGGATGGGCCCGGGCAGGGTGACCACCACGGGGGACGGCTCGATGATGACCCGCGAGTCCTGGCACTGCCGGACACAGGGCACATTGCAGCTGTTGGCCAGCGGGGTGGGGCCGCAGGGCCGGCACAGGTCGTAGCAGGACATGGCTGTGGCTGGAGGAGCACCTGGAGAAGGCACAGGCAGAAGGTGAGGCACAGAAAGAGCAGAGCCCGGGGAGAAGGAACAGGGAAGAGGGAGGAAGAAAGGATCAGGAACCCCGTGGTTTCTCTGCCAAGAACCCAACAGCTTCTCCCACCTCCTCCCAGTGAGCAGAGGCTGGGAGAGAAGTTCTCAGCAGGAGCTCCACAGCAGCATGGCCAGAGGTGAAGGCAAAGAGAAAGAGAAGGCCAAAAAGAAGGTAAAGGTGTTTGCAGCTCACCTGTGTCACCGAGGAGGAGAAGGCAGGAGAGCTGGATGAAGGATCCTGCACTTGGACTGGGTTTTATACCGTCCTGACCAGCCCCGGGGCCAGTCTTTGCTCATGGGACGTGTTTCCCAAGCTCATCCTCGATGGAAAACACTCCCTTCCTCCTTCACCAACCTTTGATTTGGTGCTGCAACCCTCCTTCCCCGTTTCCTTGCTGGTGGTATCCCCATTCCACACTGGAACTTTGTTTTATGTGACTTAATTAGAGATCAAATGCTTCCCATGGCCAGCCTTGTTGATTGAGGTAATTTAGGTCTTTATAGCAACGTCCTTGGAAAGCAATGTGTTTTTCCTCCTCTGTCTGGCACTTTAGTCACTGCCTCATCTGTCTCGTGGCCATTTCCAAATTAAAACAATGCCAGACTCATCCCAGATAGCTCCAGATTCACACAGCATTTGCATGTTTTGCATAAATGCAATGGCTGCTATTTTTCCCTGTGTTTTCAGATTGTGCCACATGTCTGCTTTGAATCTTTCATTGAGAATGAAGCACTGGTTTAGACCAGAGCCTAATTAGGTCACAAACCCTGATCAGCACCAATTTTTAAAGTTTTTCAGTAAGCATTCAGCATTTTATTCCAGAAACCACTTCACGGTTTATAGTTTATACACCTCCAGCTTGTGTAGAATCTCCAAGTGCATTTAATAACCAAAATTTCAAGTTTTTAAAATGGGAGGTTTTTTCCAAGTCAGCTTCATACCTGAAGACATTTTTTGGGAATAATTCCCCCTCAGAGCAACTTCTGTAAAGTCTCCAGGAGTGGTTTTTCCTTCTCTTTTTCCAGCAGGAAGCTGAACTGTTTCTCAGTGGAGGTAAAACATTCAGCAGCCGGCGTTGGACACGGGCTACTGGGCAAGTTTCTTCCCTGGCCTAATTAGGGCTGGAATGTGCTCAGGTTTTATGTCCTAGCAGCACAATTTGGAGGCACTGGTAATATCCTGACAATTCCCTGCTGTAGGAAAGGAATGGAAGCAATTTGGAACACAGGGGTTGGTGGCGTCCCTGCAATTGCTGGGACACCTCATTTCAGTTTGTTTATGGCCATACCCAAAGCCAGAACCCCAAATTGTTGGTTATTGGTGCAGCAAACAATCATTTCTGCTAAACTCGGATAATTTGAGCGGGTCATTTTGGTTAACCAAGGGGAGGAATCTCCAGCTTCAGTTTTTCTGCTCCAAAACGTTTCTGAGGAGAGAAATGTTTCATTTTATTCATTAAAGCAGAGCTTAGCACACCGTGACTGCAGCAAAACAAGAATTAAACTGACCGTGAAGGCATAAAATGATTTCAAGCAATAATTCAATCTCCAGACTGGGGGTTTTATTTTTAGAATTAAGATTTCAGTTCAGAGAAGAACCAAGTTAATTGGGAGCTCATCAGCTGTGATGATTGAGGCTGGAGAAATGATCAATTCCGGGATGTGATCCATTCCAGGCCAGGTTGAATGGGTTATTGAGCAACCTGATCCAGTGGGAGGTGTCCCTGCCCATGGAAGGGGCTGGAACGAGGTGATCTTTAAGGTCCCTTCCACCCTAAACCATTCCTTGATTCCACAACCGATGGGAACTTTTTTAGGAAGTATTTTTTTAATTAAAAAAAATTAAAAAGAGAAAAGAAAAAAAGGACATTTCACTCAAAGCTCCATCCCAGAACTGTCATCTCTCTCATTTAGCTCCATCCCACATTCCGAAGCCTCGGAGGTGTCTGCCTGCAGCTCCCCGGGGCTGCAGAACAATTGGAGCTGCAGATTCTTGAAAGGGAAGAACTTCAAAGCCAATCCCAAATATTCATTAAATGGTTGAGACACACAAAGTGCATCAGCCATGGAAATATTGCAGCTACAATGCAAAATTGGAATGGTTTTGTCACTTGGGCAATAACGTCACCCAAAATTTGGTTACTCCCTGGGCAGACAACATTTGACAGCGTCGGAACCCAGGGTCATTAATTTTTTCATTAAAAAGTCGTTTTGTGTGTTATAATAACCTCCCACAGAGCCCCTGGAACAGATCCAAAGCTGCTTGGGATTCTTGTGACAATTTAATGCAGCAGCACTGGGAAGAAAATGAGGTGGGGATGGGGGGGATTCCAACAGGAAAACGAGACCCCACCTGCAGAGCTGCCCCAGCCCTGGATCCCGGCCCCGGGAGGAGCTGGAGCTGCTGGAGAGAGCCCAGAGGAGGCTCCAGGAGGATCCGAGGGATGGAGGAAAGGCTGGGAGAATTGGGATTGCTCCTTTTGGAGAAGGGGGAGCTCTGAGGTGACCTCACTGTGGCCTGGCAGGACCTGAAGGGACCACAAGGAAGACGGGGAGAGACAATTCCCAAGGGATGGAGTGCCAGGGCACGGGGAATGGGTTCCAGAAAGGAAATTTGGATGGGATTCTGGGAAAGAATTCCCTGTGAGGGTGGGGCGGCCCTGGAAGGGGGTATTCCATGGATTCTCCATCCCTGGAAATATCTGAGGCCAGGCTGGAGCAGCCTGGGATGGTGGGAATGTCCCTGCCCGGGGCAGGGGGGGAATGAGATGAGTTTTAATCCCGAACCATTCCAACCTGGGAGACTGACAGGAAATCACTGCCATAACACAAACACAGGGAATGGATCTGTGGAACCCAGGGAAAAGAGTTTATTTGCCTCTCCCTGGATCCAGGTTGTTCCGTTAATCCTAATGGAATCTATTCCACCAAATTTATTCCATTGATGTGATTTAATCCATTCCACTATCGGGATTTAATATGGATGCAGCATAGGAAATAATAAAATAATAAAAACCCTGACGAGGCCAAGAACCCTGACCTGATTAGAAGCTGATTGCTGGAATGACAGCTGAGCTCTGTTTATCTTTGAGGGCTTTTTATTGCTCAATCCATGGGTGTCTGAAGCCAATTCCAGGGCTTGGGATAATGACAGAGGTGTGTGTGAGGCATTAATGAGCACCCGGGACATTTGGTGCAGGTAGGACGTGATCGGAGTCGCTGCCTCGGGGCTCTCCCCCATCACGCCTCATCATTTAGAGGAGAAGAAAAAAAAGAAAGAAGAAATTTACTGCTCTATTAAAGCAGCAAACAAGGAGCGGGTAAACAACCGCGGGCAGGAAATCTGGCTGTAGGGAAGGGCAGAGCCCAGGGGACTCCAGGCACTTTCCCTGCCTCGTCCCGTGGGCTGAAAGCTGCGGGTTTTGGTTAAAAAAATAAAAGCCCTTTTAATCCTTGGGTGATGCTTAAAGAAGCGTTTTGGAACTCCAGTGCACGACGAGAGTGGCCAGAGGCGTCCTTTAAGAAAGAGTAAGAAATAAAATCCCAATTTCTGCGTGGGCAGAAGAGTTCCCTCAGCCTTTCCTCCATCCCTTGGGGGCTCCAGCAGCTCCAGGTCCTCCCTCAGGTCCTGCCCCAGGGCTGGGGGCTCCCAGAAATACCGAGAAGGGACTGGGGGTTCTCTGCTCATTAATTTTAGGGCTTTGCTGAAGAAAATCTGTTCAGGAGGTGCCGTTTGGCAGCAGAGCCTCGTCGTTCCTGCTTGGAAAAGGTTTGGAGCAGGGAAAATTCCCTCCTTCCTTCCCCTCCACCTCCCCACTGCTGGAGCACCCCGAAATAATTGGAATATTGGGATGTTTCAGTAGGAAAAGGGCTCATGCTCCATCCCCTTTCCCCGAAAATCATTCCATATCCCATTTTTATTCCTATTTCTCCTTCTATAACAATTCATCCTATTTCTGGGGCTCCTCTCTGGAATTATTCCTGCAAAAAAAAAAAATGGGTGACTCTGCAAAGTTCTCAAGGCAAGAGCCCCGGAAGGTTTCGGATTAAAGGATTTCCAAGCCCTTCGCAAACTCTCATTAATTATCTATTCATGTAAAACACTCATTAGCAGCTTTTAGGGATGCAGCAGGATTGCAAAGAGAGTCACAAAGTCACCCTGAAGGACGTGGCAAGGTTGGTAGTGGACATTCTCTGGTTATAAATAGATATTTGTAATAAAATGTAATAAAATAAATGAATTATTTTAATAGAAATAAATACACATATTTTATATAAATATACAAATAGAAATAACCTTAAAATGTATGGTATATTTAAAATTACAAATCTTAATACAGCGTTAAAATGTCTTAAAATATAAATACTAATTATATTTATTATAATTAATGCTATATTAGCAATGCACTACATAATAAATAACAGTCACATTTGTAATTATAAATATTAATCATTATAAATATTTTATCTGTTTTGTTTTTTATTTGAAAATTGTTTTTTTTCTCTTCTACCAGATTTTCCAGAATGGGCAAATGCTGGACTTTGTTGCCAAGAAAACCTGGACATCGAACAACAGTGATTTTCAGGAATTACACAAGCAAGGAATAACTGTTAAATCAAAATGCAGAAACCATTCATGGTTAATTTTGCTTTTGGGGAAGGGGCTCACAGCCGATTTTTTTCATGTTGATAAAGGAATAACAAATAAACACCTTTGATTAAGATTTAATAAAAATTTGGGTCTTTACAAGGGAAGGATTTAAGAAAAAAAATTTATTTTTCTGTTTAATTCTGAGCCTCACAGTCCAAAAAAGACAATTATTCTGGAATTCTGGGATAGAAAACATCCCTGAAGAAAGAACATGAGCAGAGTGGGTAGGTCAGAAAATTCATATGGGTCCAGCGTGAGCCACAAGGAGAGAATGCAGAACTCAGACCTGAAAAATTAACTTGGAATTAATTAGGACCTCACACACACAAAGAAGCCTTCGTTAATATTTCTATTAATTGAAGAAAATCCCCACAGCTTCATCCTCCTGTTTTTATTATTATTTATTTGCTCGGTTTTCCCCCTTCTTTAACTGT